GCAGCTGGAGCAGATATTGGAAGGACAAAAAGAATGAATCTGATCCAATCCTGTAACAAACCTAACCATATTCACACTCTGGGGGAGTGGTTTCAGCATGACAGCCTACACTTTTATGGCATTTCTCCAAATCTGTGATCATGCATTCTCTCCTCACCTTCACTGTCAAGTCAGCTGTACCTGCGGTTACAACTTTAGCCCTGCAATACTACAGAATAAATTCAGTAAACAGATATCTATGCTCACAATGCAGTCTAAGGCAAATAGATATCAGTTCAGCCACAGAACCTAATTATCTCAGTTATCATACTAAAGCGTTGCCTAGTGCCTAAACATGTCACCAGTAGCCCATTTTGTCTTGGACAGACAACCGAAAATCTGGACAATCCAGGGAAATCCTGAACGGGTGGCAACCCTAGCCGTACTGTACACTCTTTAAAAAGATGGTATTCAAGGGGACTTTAGTTAAGGGAATGGTTCTATTTAGAACCATGAGTTCTATATAGAATCATATCATGCTTAAAAGGTTCTTTGCATTGTGAAATTGTTCTTCAGATTGATGGTCAATGTGTTGTGTGTGGTTCTGCATAGAACCTTTTTGAAAACGGTTCTAGATTGCACCAAAAAGGGTTCTACTATTGTTATATGTCAAGCGTGTAACTCATGGTTCTAAACAGAACCATACACTTTACTAAAGAAGCCTTGAAGAACTTTTTAAAAGTGTACCCGAGTGCTGAATTTGGTTACCCTTCTTGTTGGAGTAGCAAGTGTGCCAAGCTGGAACATGTGGGAGGAGCCAGTAATGGTGCAAAGCACTGATTGGTCAAACGCAATCGTCACAGAATGCCAGGGCAGTCAGATGAGCACACCAATAAATAAATAAATAAATAAAATCAAACAACTGTGACTTCATAAAAACCAAACTTTGAGTAAAAAAGTAAACCAAAACTTGAAGCTCCTCTACTGTTTTTTTTTTCTGTTAACTGTTAATGCTATCTTTGTGTGATAACTCGTGACCACACAAGCTAAAAACAAAACAAAACAAAAAAAAAAGTCTACTTTCAGGGTTTTGTTATGAAAAAAATAGCTTACTACTTAAAATTTGCTCGATATCAGCCGATACTCAAAGTTTGAATATCTGTATCGCTATAGAAAAATGTGGTATCGTGCCACCTCTAATTTCTATGACAGTTATTCCATGCATAAGTTCTACACTCCTCAGACGCCTTTCTATAATATAACTTTATTACTTCTGAAGGCAGTGCTTCCAAAATGTAAACAGTCAGCAAAGTCAGGAATGAGATGCAAGCCATAATGTAAAAATCAATAAAGATTAAAAGGCAAATCAGAGCTGCATTAGTTAACAGCGCTGCAGGCTGGAGTGCAGACTACAGGTTATTCAGACACAGCCAGAAGAGCCTCAGTTCCCAGAGAACAGAAGACATTCTCAAGGCCATTTCATGGTATGACCGCAGTGCTGGCACTGCAGACTACAGAGAATGCAGGTGTGTGTAAGTGGGGAGGGACAGAGAGAGAGAGAGAGAAACAGAACTGTGGCAGTTTTAGGGATTAGAAACTCTACTGTACAGTTATAAAAGTGATGAAATACATCCGGAATAAGAGACGATCTGAATAAAACACTTCCGAGTAAACTAAGAGCAAACATTATGAGGTAAACATAACTTCATTCATTGACCGTCAGCTCAGTGCTGTGCTGGAAGTGCCAGTTTTTAAAAGCGTGAGTCAGATTTCACAGAACACAATGATAAACATCACCTTCCTCTAAAGATACGGGCGTAAACACAAATTAGCCTGAGCTGCCAAACACATTTTCTCAATTAAGACCGATTTCACCAAAACTACCAGCCACAGCAGAGCATTCAAACTGAAAATATACACTAAACACCATGTGTATGTGAGAGAGAGAGAGAGAGAGAGAGAGAGTGTATGAGAGAGAAAGGGGTGAATAAGAGCGAGAGAGAAGTGAAAGAGAGAGATGGATGAGGGAAGGAAGGAACGAGACAGAAAGCAAATAAAAGACTGAATGACAGACAGAGAGGGGAAAGAGAGAGAGAGAGCTTTAGAAAGAGAAAGATAGTGAAAGAGTAAGTGAACAAAAGAGAGAACAAAGAAAAAGAATGAGAGGGAAGAGAAAGAAGTGAAATAGAGAGGGGGAAGACAATGAGATTGAGGGAATGAGAGAACAGAGGTAGAAAAAGAGAGGATGGAGGAGAGAGAGAAGTGAGAGAGAGAGAGAGAAAGAGAGAGAGAGAAGTGAAAGAGAGACGGAGAAGGGAAGAAAGGAAAGACTGAAAAAGAGACAGAGGGGAAAAGAGAGAAAAACGAAAGAGAGAGAGAGATTAAAAAATGAGAAATACAGTGAAAGTGAATAAAAGAGAGAAAGGAGAAAAGGAATAAAAAGAATGAGATGGAAGAGAAAGAAGTGAAAGAACTGAGGGGGGAACGAGAGAGGATTGAATATCTGAGAGAGAAAGAAAGAGAGAGAGGATGGAGGAGAGAATGAAGTGAGAGAGAAGTGAAAGAGAGAGATGGAGTAGGGAAGAAAAGAAAGACAGAAAGCAAATAAAAGACTGAAGAGGAGAAAATGAGAGAAGAGAAACAAAAGTGAGAGGAAAGAAAGACAAGGTGAAAGAGAGAGATGGAAAGGAGAATAAGAGAGAGAAAGAGCAAAGAGAACTAGAGCAACAGAGGAAGAGGTAGTGAGAGAGAAAGTGAATAAAAGAGAGGAAGCAGAAAAAGAGTGAAAAGAAAGAGAGGGAAGATAAAGAAACAGGTGAATGAAAGAAAGAGAGGGGAAAGAGAGACAAAGGTGAAGGAGAGAGAGAGAGCTTGAGAAAAAGAGAGAAAGACAGTGAGAAAGTGAATAAAAGAGAGAAAGGAGAAAGAGAGAGTGAAAAAGAATGAAGGAGGAGAAAGAAGTGAGAGAGAGAGAGGGGCGGAAGAAGAGAATAAGGTAGAGAGAGAAAGCGAGAGAGAAAAGAGACAAAGTGAGTTAAAGAGAGCGAAAAGATTGAGAGAACAGAAAGAGAGACAAAAGTGGACAAGAGAGGGAGAGAGAATGAAAAGTAGACAGAAAGAAGAGAAAATGAGGAAATGAGTGAGGGGAGAGAGAGAAAAACAGAAAGAAAGAGAGAGCTGAGAGAGATGGAAGAGTGCCCGGTGGTGCTGGAGGACTGCAGTTGGAGCCGATTGGCCGGTTTCCTCGTATTGTCTGAAGTCATTTGGTGAAACGGGGCAGAAACGGCAGAGCGGCTGAGGCCGGACACGCCGTCATAACTTAAACCATGTGATGAGAGAGAGTCGCTCCACAGGGAGCATCTGTACATCAGCGCTGACCCCACAGAACGTCGGGCCTCCACCTGAGATTTACAGTCCGGGGTCAGCGCCGTCCACCGCGTCCACGCTGATATGATTTACCACAGAGTGAAGAGCTCGAAACAGAGCCGTGATCTGTGACCGGAGAGAGAAGGAGGCCACTGTACGTATGATTTCTACAGCTACTCAGTCCTGTTAAGCGGCTCAGACCATCCCTGACCTTCACTGAGTCCTTCTAAGTGCCGTCAAGTGACGTAAAATAACATTTCACATGTCAACTGGGTTCTTCTGATTCACTGCATTAACTGATCTTTAATGACCACCCACTTAAAATAGATGGTTCTATGGGTTCTATATAGAACTACCTGAATTCTTAAATGGTTTATTGCATCGTGAAATGGTTCTTCAGATTGATAGAGAATGTGTTGTATATGGTTCTGTGTGGCACCAAAAAGGGTTCTGCTATTGTTATGATCTCAAGCTTATAAAACGAAAGAAAGCTTTTTGGTGCTAGAACCATACACAACACATTCTCCATCAATCTGAAAAACCATTTCACCATGTAAAGAATAGAAATGGTTCTATTTAGAACTTCTACACAGAACTCATGGTTCTAAATAGAACCATTGAGGAGCCATCATTTTAAGTGTTTACACAGAACCTGTGGTTCTAAACAGAACCACTGTCTTTACTAAAGAACCACTGAAGAACTTTAAGCGTGTATATAGAACACATGATTCTCACCATTTCTTTCAGTAAAGAAGCCGTGAAGAACCATCTTTAAGTGTGCATATCGAACAAATGGTTCTATACAGAAACACTGCTTTACTAAAGAACCATTGAAGAACCATCTTTATATAGAACACATGGTTCTATATAAAAACATTGTCTTTACTAAAGAACCCTTGAAGAACCATCTTTATATAGAACACATGGTTCTATATGGAAATATTGCCTTTACCAAAGAACCATTTTTATATAGAACACATGGTTCTATATAGAAACATTGCCTTTACCAAAGAACCCTTGAAGAACCATCTTAAGCGTTCATATAAAACACATGGTTCTACACAGAAATACTGTCTTTACTAAAGAACCCTTGAAGAACCATCTTAAGCATGCATACAGAACATATGGTTCTATATAGAAACATTGACTTTCCTAAAGAACCACTGAAGAACCATCTTAAGCGTGCTTGTACAACACAAGGTTCTATATAGAAATATTGCCTTTACCAAAGAACCCTTGAAGAACCATCTTTAAGTGTGCACAGAGAACACATGGTTCTATATAGAAACATATTCTTTACTAAAGAACCCTTGAAGAACCATCTTTATATAGAACACATGGTTCTATATAGAAACATTGTCTTTACTAAAGAACCCTTGAAGAACCATCTTAAGCATGCATATAGAACACGTTTCTATACAGAAACATTGCCTTTACTAAAGAACCCTTGAAGAACCATGTTTAAGTGTGTACAGCAGAATGACAGCAGTTGTGGACAGCAAAGGGAAATATAAACTAATAAGAAAAACAATAAAATGCACAATAATAAACAACTGACAAAATAAAAGTCATAAAAGTCCTCAGAAAAGCAATGTATGAAGTATGAATGAAACAGCCCCACATATCAAAACACATCTCGCTCCAGCGCTGTTTACCTTGTGGTACAGTTTTGAGTCTGACCGCTGCTCCTCTGCAGTTCTGCACGAGGCTCAGCACGTCGTAGAGCGGCAGTCCGGACACGCTGAGCCCCTCCACCTCCAGCACGAGCTCCCCCTGCTCCACAGCTCCGTTCAGCGCGGCTCCGGTGTGCACGAACTCTCCCCGCTCCGCGCCGCCCAGCAGCCCCTGAGGTCCCGCCAGCGCGTCCCGGGACAACGCGCTCTCGTGCAGCCTCCGGCTCCAGTGGCCCTTCCGATCCCCCGCCTTGGACATGGCACGAACAGGTACAGGTGGGTCCCCGCTTTAACAAACACCAGCACCAGCACCGCGACTAGGCTGCCTTCATAGGTCACAACATCCGCAACAAAGTTTCTCAGCTGCCCTTAGAAACATAAACACAAGCCTGAATTCTCCTTAACTGGGAACAAAAATAAGAAAAATGGGAAAAGAGAAAAAAGATCAAGCCATTATTTTCCGCTCCAACTTAACGAGCCGCAACTCCGCGCACAGCTGCTTCTAATTCCCCTTCATTATATTCCTCCTCATCATCTCCTTAACATCCACTAATCCACTCGGTAAGTCCTCGCTAGTTTTCACTCTCCAAAAAAAGTCCTCTCTTCTTCCTCAGACTTTCTTTCTTTTTCCTCTGAAACTCCTCTTTCGCTCCTAATCCACCTCCGGATCGCGGCTCCTTTAAACAGGTACTCCGTTTGTCGTCTCCTCTTTTTCGTTTCGCCTCCGCTGCTCCGCTCAAACGGGGGATGGAGCGATAGTAAAGTTTCGCGCATGCGCCGTGCGGAGTGTGTTTTTTTTCCCCGCCCGTATTCAGACAAGAGCCTCCCCCACATGTGCTGCGATTGGCTGCCCACGCGGACGGCCGCACTATATCCCCGCCCCATTTAAGGCTATTGGCCACTCACAAGCGGACAGGCGTTCTAGAGCGTTAAGTGTGAGCCCCGCCCCGTTTGCTGGGATTGGCTACTTTCAAGCAGTCCGCCGTTCTAGAGCGCAAATGATAAGCTCCGCCCCCTGGCGGTGGGCTTGGCTACTGTGGTTCTCAAACGGCGGTCTGATTGTAGATATAAATTACTGACCAATCAGAGCACGCGAAGGCGGAGCTTATTTGAAAACTGGTAGGGAAAAAAACACAAAGTCCGAAACAACACGGGGTCCTAAAGCCTGCCTGATTTTGTCTCCCAATGTAATGTTTACTATATTTATTTATATATGTTAACTCTTTTTAGTTCCTTTTCAAAATGTTTTAATTTCTGCTAAGTTTAAGAGAAAAAATGTAAAAGCACTTTGTAAAGCATTCACTTCAGAAAATTAAATTATTATAATTATATTAAAATTTAATTATAATTAAAATGATTATTATTATTATTGTTAGTAATAATAGTAGTTGTAGTAGCAGCAGTAGTAGTAATAATATGCCTGTTATTAGTATTAGCATAGGAATTGTCTTATCATTTGACATTATTTGTCGTTTAATTTATTAAGTCATTCACGGCACCTAAAAGGGAAATTCCACCAATTTTTCAAAATTTGTCCACAATTAAATTATTAAGACAAACAAAGTCAACCAGAGTGGTTTGAAGTTAAATGTGGCCTTCTAGAGAGACTTACTGAGTCAGAATTGCTCACAGCAGATGTGACAGCAACCGCATTTTGTAGTTCTGCAATAATTTTTTGGCCTAAAATCCATTTTAAGGTATCACAGCAAACAAAAAAGCTTTTTGTTTCTTAGATTTACCTCTATTTTACACTTATTGACATTACATATGAAAAATTGTGCATGTATGTTCACTGGTGGACAGCAAATAAAATGACAATTTTTGTGTTGTAGACTTTGTGACCTCTGGTTCCTATCAAGTTCAAGTTTGCCTTATTTACATGATAAAATAGGATTTGTGCTGTTAAAGCATTGCAACAATAATCTACATGATAGAAGTTTTAAAAACAAGATATATAGCAACATAAGAAAGAAGAGAAAAAGTCAATTAGCAATTGATAATATAAAAAAACAAAGCCTATTTTATATATGCATGTGGCATAAAACAAGAGGGAAAGAAGAAGAAAAGGTTGTGGTTTGGTGGTCACTCCCTGTCCTGGAGTGTATGTACACATATCTGGCTGCAGTGGACGCTAATGGACCCTCTCCTAATATAATCGCTAATTTATCATTATCTCTGAATGTTCTGAAGTTGTTTGTATGTTTTTTTCAAACTGATTAAAATATTAATTCCTGACAAATCCATATTTTGGGCAGTTTAGTAGGAAGTGCACCTCTGCTTCTAACTCAGCTGTCCTGCAGTGACCACACTTCCAGTAACCAGGACTTTTTAAACCTACCTTTCTCAATGGCCAGGCTGTTGTCACTAAGTCTATATCACCACCACTGTAAAGAAATCTGTACGTTTATCTATGATGAAGCCTTTCTCATCAAACAGATCTGAATGACTTTGTTACATCTCAGTGATATCATACATCTTATGCACAAATTGTGAAAATTGGTGGAATTCCAGTCCAGTTTGAAGTGATTTGAGTAGTATATGGCCAAATGTTTCATTGTACAGGGCCTAATGGGATGAATTCACATCTCCTAAAAGACAGATGGTGAGATGCTTATGGATTTTAATGAGATTAACAGGCAGCAATTAGCAAATCGTAATGAAAGCTCACAGCAGGACACAAGTCTTTAAAATTAAGACTTTAATTCTGATATTCAGTTCTACTCAATTCAACAATTCAATTCAACTTTGTTGAATATATCTTTCTACACTCATTGTCCATTTTATCAGCTCCACTTACTATATAGGTGCGCTTTGTAGTTCTACAATTACAGACTGTAGTCCATCTGTTTCTCTACATACTTCGTTAGCCCCCTTTTGTTCTGTTCTTCATTGGTCAGGACCCCCATGGACCCTCACAGAGCAGGTATTATTTTGGTGGTGGATCATTCTCAGCACTGCAGTAACACTGACATGGTGGTGGTGTGTTAGTGTGTGTTGCAATGATATGAGTGGATCAGACGCAGCAGTGCTGCTGGAGTTTTTAAACACCTCAGTGTCACTGCTGGACTGAGAACAGTCCACCAACCAAAAATATCCAGCCAACAGCGTCCTGTGACCACTGATGAAGGACTAGAGGATGACCATCACAAACTGTGCAGCAACAGATGAGCTATCGTCTCTGACTTTACATCTATAAGGTGGACCAACAACTTCATGATACGGGCTCGACTTGCTTTTGGTACCAGCTACTTCATAGCTTCCACTGCAGATATAGTACCCTCTTAATAAAATCTGCTCTGTGGTGGTGCTGGGGGGGTCCTGACCATTGAAGAACAGGGTAAAAGGGGGCTAACAAAGTACGCAGAGAAACAGATGGACTACAGTCTGTGATTGTAGAACTACAAAGTGCACCTATAAAGTAAGTGGAGCTGATAAAATGGACAATGAGCGTAGAAACAAGGAGGTGGTTTTAATGAAGTGGCTGATCAGTATAGTTTGAGTTGTGTTTGTATTCATGATCTTTTGTATGCTGTGGGTGTGACCAGTTTAACAGCTCGAGGGTGGAAACTGTATTTAAACCTGATGATTCTGGCTTGAATGTTCTAATATCTCTTCCCAGATGGCAGCGGGTGGAACAGGAAGTGGCTGAGGTGTTTGGGGTCTGAGTAATACTGATGGATTTCCTTAGACATGTCCTGCATGGGTGGGAGGACAGCTACAGTGAACAACTGGGCGGTGGAGCTGCCATACCAGACTGTGATGCAGCTGGTCATAATGCTCTACACTGTAAACTTTTAGAAGTTGGAGAGGAGTTGACAGCTTTGTTGACTCTCCTTAGCCTCCTGAGGAACTGAAGGCGTTGCTGGGCCTTTTTGACGAGGTGTGCTGGGTTGAATGACCAAGTGAGATCCTCAGCTATATGAACTCAAATTTAAAGCAGTTCACTCTCTCTACCATGGTCCCCTCGAAGGTCAGAGGTGTCTGCTCTGTTCTTGAAATCAACGATCATCTCTATCGTCTGTGCACCACTCTGTGAGAAGTTTCATCTCATCTTTGTACGCTTCCTCATTGTTGTTAGTGATAAGGCCCACTACCGTCATGTCGTCAGTGAACTTTATGATGGTGTTGGAGTTGTGCTTGGCGATGCAGTCTTGTGTAATAAGACTCAGCCTTGTGGACAGGCCTTGCTGAGAGTGAGGGTCGCAGAAGTGTGGCCATCATCCTGAAGTCTACTGGTGAAGAAATCCAGAATCTGGATGAAGACTGTGTGACTGATTCCTAGGATCTTGAGCTTGGAGACCAGTCTAGAAGGGATAACTAACTGAACGCTCAACTGAAATCAACGACCAGCATTCTCATGTAGGTGTTCCTGCCCTCCCGATGGTTCAATGCGCTGTGCATTGCTAGGGAGATGGCATCTTAGATTGATCTGTTCGCATGCTGGGTGACCTGATGAGGATCCAGAGTTCAAGGGAGACAATTCCTAACGTGAGCCAAGACAGTGAAAACTACATGTAACACATTTCTTTCGCTTGTTTCGAAAGTCAGGTGTGTTATAACCAGGCAGAAATGCTGCACTGCGCACACTTGTAGGACCTGTTTTAACTGTCAGTGGAGGAATGTAGAGTAGAAATGAATGGATCACAGGGCTATGTTATGTGAGTATCCTCGTCGTTCTAGTTCAACCAGATTGTTGCTGCTTTTCCGGCTGACTTCATTTAACACCAATTGTTCCGCAAATGAACTCAGAAGAGTCCTGTAGAACAGGTTTTTTGCAGTCATTCCGTGAAACCAGTGTCTGTTGATATGTGACATAGTCTTTGATCCTTGGAAAACAATGTTGTCCACATTTCACAATATTAAGGACACAGTTACCAAAAACATATTCTATTTTTTATCATTCAACCCTTATTATTAAGGGAATATGATTTTTAATCTAATCTCTATATTGCGTATCTTTAGTATGTGGTCAGTTGCTGTGAACAATGGTTTCTACAGGTTTCCTTGTGATAGGTACAAGAAGAGAAAACCTGTTAGCGTGAAGGATGCATACAACAGAAGCCAGTGGGTTCTATGTTTTGAGTTAATGTGTTTTGCTAATGTGATTTCTGAACTGAGGAAACTGTGTCAACAATAATTGACCATACAATACAGATAGAGATTAGGTTGAGAAATGCTGGAATATTACAATAGTAGGGAGATTTTATGTATGGTAGATGCTTTATTGGTCAAATGTTGCCTCTTTAAGTGTTTCCTGAGGACAAGGACACTTAAAATGCCCCTATATTGAAGCAAAATAGGGCTGTTTGAAGCCCTTACACAAGATTTTTTTTGAAGTCATATTCAAATGACCCAGAGGTCAAGAAAGGCAAAACCAGCAATAACCAGCAATAGTCAACTCTGATCAAATTAGTTTATATCAGTGATCACAATTTCACACTATTGCAATCGTTCTATTAGCCTTTCTTCTAGTAGTTATCATGCTGTTTGTCATTCATTCATGCATCGGCAGCAGCATCACTTGCCCAGCAGCAGTTTAATCAAGAGATATTTGCAAGTCTTAAATGTACCAGCAGAACATAGCATTAGGAAAGTCATTATTCTGATCATCATCACTGTCTGTCTCCTCATCATCATGATTATGCATGGAGCTCATGTGATTCACTTATTTATTTGTGTGTGAATCATGTGAGCACCACACAAAAACATGCGCATAGATAAGCCAAAGCATTACCTGCTTATTATGCTGTTGTTCCACTGCGAGCTGCCAAGCAGTTCT